GGTACGGGCCATCTTTAATATGTTAGGAAAGACACCTACCGTACTCTAAGACATTGGTTTTAGTCACTAATACCCCCCGTCGCAGCAACTGAATTGAACTGAACTGAAGCTTAGGTTTCTAAGCTTGCACATTTTTGATATCGTTATTTCATTGTGTTTCACCCACTAGCCTATTTAATTGTGCAAAAACAGTCTGGAAGTTGCATAAATTAATGAGTCGGTTCATTATAACCTGACCTTTGTACCTTCCTAATCTAACCTCACTTCAAAACACTTAATACAGTCACGAATCCGCATAAAACCCGACCTAAGCTACCTTCCTCACATGCCTAAATAAGAACTGATTAACTTATTTGGTTTCAAAATGAATTTACTTGATTTCATTCCGCATTAGATCAAGTATACTTAAACAGTTGTTTGCTCTTCTCACTCAGTCCTCACTCCTCACTCAGTACGGACCCGTCCAGACCACGCCATATTACCATTACCTTCAGTACCGCTCAATTATCCTTAGATTCGTAATCCTAACCTTCGTTTTACAGCCACTTAGGAATCTCTCCGACAAAAACTGATTGCATTTTTGGATTCAGCGTTAAAAATACTGTTAGTAGACATATAAAAATTACATAATATCCCAATGTAAATACAGTAAATATTTGCCTAATCAAGTTTGGTTAGTTAGGTTAAGTTAACCTAACTGTAGGCCTAAATAAACTTACGCGAATCAAATAATCGATAACTTACATCGAATAATCTATATAGGCCTAAGTTACCTATTGATATTTTTCATTGGAATGAGTGTAGGACGTAAACTTAAGTGCAGCCTCAACATGCTACAGGGTGGCCTAGTGTCAACATAACTTAGGTTGAGCTTAGATTGCCAAAACCGGATGTTTGGGCTAGTTTTACAACACCTACATTAAAGCCTAGTAACACTGTAGAGCCACTATGAAAACAAGCCAATACTAAGCAAATAAATTTAACTTACCAACTGTGTTCTACTTGTCGTTTTTCTTCATTTATAGACTGGTGCTCAGCGACGGAATAGCCGAAATACGAACCTTCTGTTCCTCGTTTTATCACAGGCAACCTAGTTTCTAAATTAAAACATAAAACTACACTTGTATGTGTTAAAACTAAGAACAAACAACTAGTTAAACTTTTGATACTCATTGTAGACAACACCGACACTTAGGTTTGCCACTCCCACATATTTCTAGTCTGACAACTACTAACAATAATAAAGTCACAGCCACAGCCTAGGAAGGAAACCAGAATCATAAAAGACAGTAGACACACCGTGACCGTGTACAGTACAGACAGAGACAGACAGACAGACAGACTCGAGCCGAGTCAGCCAGCGCCAGCAGGAGCAGATTCTGTTTCCCTCTGTGTTCACTCAGTTCAGTTCGTTCAGCTAACAGCGTGTTATGTCTGGCGTTCTCTCACAGTTCTCATCCTCATCTCGATCTCACTCACTAAAAGCATTGACTATATATACCTACAGGTTTATATATACTATATTAATATATATATATATATATATATATATATATATATATACCTGTAGGTATATATAGTCAATGCTAAAAGTTATCTTCTTCTCACTGACTCACTCACTCCACTCAGTAGTCAGTACTCACTACCTCACTACTCAATCTCAGAGAGTAGTGATTGAACGGCTCCCATTTTCGACTCAGTGGTCCGTTTTGAGTTCGGTTTTGCGTATTCCGCCAATAAAGACCATTAATTTGATTTGAATTGCATATCAACCTATAGCCCAGTCAATAAAGATGTTTTATCGCAACTAAATGGTGGAAAGCTGGATTATGTATATGTGTGATAGAACCACATGAGAGGTGTATTTTCCCAAAAGTCCCAACTTGGCACTTATAGCCCTTAAGCTTGCCTCCCCCTTCCAAATCTAGAAATTGCAGTGTTTCACTTAATTGATCTTAGTCGTGTACTATGTATACCGTCCGTGTTGCAATTTGTTTTATTTTATTTCTGATTAGTTTTCCTAAAACTTTTGTATTTAACATTCTCTTCTAAAACTAGTATTTAGGGAGATATACAATTTAAACTTCGTTAAAAGCTTTGTTTCAGAGTACAACATTTTGTTTTCTCTACTTTTAAATAGAAGTAATACGCAAATATGGTTCAATCAAAAGATTTAGTACGTTTTTCAAGGTTGATGGCCGGGTGAGGAGCTGAACGTCGGCAAAGAGAGCGTGTGCGGGCTAGTTGAGCACCTCTGATCCGTACGTTTTCTGTGTCCATGTATAGCTCAGTCAATAATCGCACAAACTGCCTTTTTTCGTAGCTAAATAGTGGAAAGCTGAGTTTGTTATATGTGATGGAACCACTTAAACATGATGTATTTTCAAAAAGTTCCCGATTCTCCCCGTTGAGCTTTTCCCCCACCCCCTCCAAACCTGAAAATTGCAGTCGTTCACTTTACTGGATATAATTAAAATTCTACACAATGCTATCGTATTGTATTTTGATTTGTATTATTTATAATATTAGTTTATCTACAACTTTTGTAGATTTTATTTTGTACATTTTGCGTATTTGATTTGTAAAAAATATATAGAGTGTCAAACAAAATTGTGTGCTTAAAACATAACCATTATCAAAGTTAAAATGTTATATCTCTTTGAAAATAATTTTAGAAGAAAACCTTTGGTACAAAAGTTGTAGATAAACTAATTATAAATAGTAAATAAATAATAACCTCTCATGTGGTTCTATCACATATACAAAATCCAGCTTTCCACCATTTAGTTGTGAAAACAGGTGTTTTATTGTTTTCATTGACTGGGCTACTATGCGTACCTGAGTCTGAGAAAGATTTTCGTCTTGACTCCCCCCGAGGAGGTAGCGTGTCACTGATTACTGTAATGTTTTTAAATTATTTTAATATCAATTGATCAATTATAGAGCCCAGTGACTTTGTTCCAAGTTTTGTAGCTCTATTTATACTATTTTATTATATTTAGCTGTCCCGAGACTGTAAGCATTAAAAATATTCTAATAATGTCCATTTGAAACCTTTTGTAACTCTAAAACCGTTCAGGCTAGGCTAAAATTTATGAATTTCTTGCAAGCGCCCTAAAGTTTCATTTCAATTCATGTCAAGAATGGTTTTTATTTTTTTATCCTTGAAACATAAATAAACACCCTGTCGCAGCAAATTCTGCAGACTAAGCAAATTTCTATTTACCTGGCTATAGATTCTACGAAAATGTTCCCTTAAAATTGTCAGAATTACTTCCTATTTAAAAATAATATGAATTTAAATGAGTACTTAGGTTTACGGCTACAGGGAAGGTATGTATGCACTTAATGGAGGTGTGTTTTTTAATCGTAATGTTGATAGCTTAGTATAAAATTAACAAAATTGCCAAACTTGATCAAACAAGCAAACTACAACAGTTTTATTATTTTTCATAAGAATAACATTGAAATTTTAAATTTACAATTTTTTTTACTTCTGTAACCTGTAACCAAAACAACAAGACTGTATACAACAAGACTTCAGTATAGACATTTTTTTAAGCTCTAGGCCTACAAAATGGTTAGGAAAAAAATTTTCAAATTTTATGTTTTTAGAGTCAAAAGTGGGAAAAAAAGTTTTTAGCCATAAAACCTCTGTTCCCATAGTCCGACCATGCTGGTTTGCGAACTCATTCGAAGAATCATAGGTTTACACGTTTATACCAAATTTAATCGAAATCGGATCATTTTTCCTTGTGTTATCGCGCTAACGGGCATGTATATACAGGCAATGATACATATATACAAATTTAAACGGAGGGTGTTTTTGGCCTCTGGGAACCTCAAAACGAAAAAGTAAATTGGTCCCGGCCCCCGGGTCTAGGTCTTACCATGAGACCTACGGTAATAGCTTATTCCCTTTATAGTTAATTTGCTAAAATGCCCAATTTGTATTACAACCACTGTGTAGAGTAAAAAATAATAGGCCTAATTTTGTAGGCCTAAACTGAGTGATGTTGTACAATGATTAAAGGTTACGTTGAATATTCTAAAGAACTGTACATTTAAAATTTCCTAAGTTATTCTTATTCTTTAGTCAAAATCTAAGCAGATTAATAAAAATTCACTTAGTCTAAGGGTTTGCTGCGGTGGGGGTATTTGGCATTAATAGCTTGTCTTAATCAATGCAAACATAAAAACCAAAGGTTTATTGCCATACCATTTGTTCAGTCATAACAATTGTCATTTCCAATATGATGATACATATTTCTATACACTTTTAGGAACCTTTACAAAATACAAGCAACATTCTGAGGTAAAAAATATATTTTCAAAATACACGTTCAACATCCGTAAACAATATATAAAAATACATATTTATACTCTCGAACAAGAAATAAAAATCTTATGTACAAAATACTAAGAAAAATCAAATCCTACCAGAGCTTGAGTTCCATTACATATAAATATTCAAACGCAAACCTCTTCAATACCAGGTATGAATTTGATCAAAGATGGAGAATTCCACATTTGAAACATTTTGGTTTGATATAGTTGTACAAAATACAGGAGTTTTTTTTTTACACAACCCAAATTACAAGTACCTAGAGACATCTATACTTATTTAATACGCAAGCAGGATTTTTTTGACAATTACTCCTCCGAAACTACTGAACCGATTGACATGTTTTCGGTGTCATTGGAAAGAGCGTAACGTGAAGTTGTGCAGGAAACTTTCTTTTTAGGAAATTAATTAGAGAGTGAGGCCCTGGGGCCCTTTAAAATTTCGTATTTCTCCATAAGATTAACATGGGAAACAAACATTAATATGAAACTCCAGCTGTTGTCAGAAATTAAAAGTGAGAAGTAAGAAGAAGAACATATGTTAATTCTAAACAGTCAATAAGTTTGCTAATTTAAGTTTTCCACAAACATTTATTGACTTGGTTGAAATGAAATCTATATAAATAAAATTTAAGTTTTGTCTGTACATTGCTCAGAATCATGAATTTTTGGGTTATTTTTACGTTTTATTATTATACATTTCAGAAGCCGAAACAATGCTCATCTCAATTTCTGTCTGTCTTCCGTCTGTCTCGGCCCAAGAGCCATTTTACGCGGCCTTCTCCTATCAAGATCCGAATCATTTTAATGTATTCTGTCGTGCTGCTCGCTGGACCATACAGCCAATACACCAATTGCCCATCTCTTGGGTTCGTAGGCCCAAACAATTATTCATAAGTTGGTAGCGCGTATACTCAATGGTCCGTACGGACAGGACAAGAGCACCTTTGATAGGGAAATTTCCAACCTGAATGTTTAATGGCGAGGTTGAGGTATAGTATTTTAACTATATATAGTTTGGTTAGTTAGGTTAGTTTAGGCCTAACCTAACTAACCAAACGATATATCTAATTAAACAATCGAATAATCAATATATGAGTATTTCCATAATCTTTGAGTAGAATCTTTTTAAGTCATCAGAAATTATGATTGTTATTCATTTTAAAATAACACCAGTAATACTTAGCAATTGCTCGAATTCGAGCAACAGGTATACTAGTTAAGAGATAAAGACTGAAAATTTGTTTTTGCAAGCTCAAGGAGTAGGCTATCGTATTGTAGAATAAATGCATGTAGAACGCATATTGTAGATACATTAAAAGTAAATCATTGGTTTAATGGCAAGAAAGATTTGATATTATGTTTCCATGTGTTTAACTTATAAATCAACTATTTATTGACATGTTAAAAATTCTAGTAAGTTAAATTGGATCTGTAGAAAACAAAAAATCTGGGCTTAAAATGCATACTTTATGAACTAGCAAAAACACCACAATCAAGTCTTATTCACAATTAATTCCCGGTAACATTAAAGCGTGTAGGGAACAATGCATCAATGCATATAAGCTGATTGGTAATGAGCAAAGGATACAGGGATACCAACTTATGAGCTTCTTTTGTCCCTAAATAGTGTCTCTTGGTACTTTCATTTTGGGTATTGTTTAAAAAAACACCCTGTATAAGCATTAGCCATTACTTAAAACACATAATTTAAAAATATATATATATATTTTACCTTCTCTAAATACAAGAACTAATAAAAATATTAAATACAATTGATGCTAAGGTCCTAAGAACTAAGTCTTATATTTCTTTCTTACACCAATAGGAAAGACAGCTTAGTAAATCTTACAAAAGCATACAATTTTAAAAAGGAAGTATACAATAGTTTGAGATTTAAGTACCGCCTCCTAAAAAGTTGAGTTTTATATCATCTTAATTTAAAGATTGCGGCATAGTTCAATATAATAAATCAGTTTTTTATTAACATACTATATTGATTGAGTAACCAGATTATAATTATTTCACGACCTTTTAAAAATGAATAATTTAGTGGGAAAGAAATTAGTTTATAATTTATTTTAGTTTGTAATGCATCTATTATGATTGTTCATTTGTTTTTGGACAGCTCTACTTAGTCGTTGCAAAAGTCAACTTAAAATTATTTTAAATGAGTACAGTTTTACAGAAGTGATTACAGATTTTAAAATAAGTTAACTAGGAATTAAAAACAAATTCAACACAAAAATGAGTCACACTAAGCCTAAATAGTCTTAAATTATATTTTACAAACGCACTTAATCTTTTAACTGTTCCTAAATAAATACAGCTTACAGTAATAAATGCATCATGAAAAAAGGTTGAAAGACTGCATTTCTGACGAAAAAAAAATATTTTGGTTGCAGAGTATAGTGTTGTTATCAGAATTTTACGTACAATGTTATTTCATTGATAAAACTGATTCAATGGCTTGAGGTAGTGTATAAACACTACAAACACATATGACATATTGAATACCTAACTCTTATAAACATCAGAGGTTCATACAAAGTATTAGATCCAGTTTTAAACATTTTAAGTTCTTACATAAAACACCAAATACAACAACTAAGTAAAATCATTTAAATACCTACGAGACAGGAAGAAACTTATGTTTTAGTAAACTTGATCAAATATCAGCCTTTCAGTACAATTAAAATTAACTAGTGCCATTGTCTCTCTGTAAGCCAGGTCTTTAAAGTATTTTTTTAATGGCAAAGAGCTTTTCCTCAGTGTTAAGCCACGTTTACATGAGGACAGTAGACAGACAGGGTACTTCAGGCAGGTTGTCTCAGGTAACTTGAAATACACTAACTGCGGCAGGTAACCTGTCTGCCTGCTGGTCTCGTGTAAACGCGGCTTTAGTGTGTTGCAAGTTCTCAAAACTTTCCCATCTTAGGCAATAAATTTATTTTTGTGGTTTTCAGACAGGACATTCCAACTAAAATAAGGATTTTATGTGTAAATTGAACAATAACCTAAACACGTAAAGGTTAGGAGGCCAAGGATTTTAACAATTTATTCAGACATGTGCAATTGAAAACTTCTGTTCATATAAAAGTTCTCTTTAATCGCTTGGCTTCTTGTGTGGGGAGAGGTCCTATAAAGAGAGAGTTATCATTGCCTTCAAAAAACCTTAATTTACTTGATAAGTGGACAGCTTCATGTGGGCTCTAAACTACCTGGTGACAACATTGTTATCACAAAGTATATTTCTATTGGGAAAAGTTGGGATTTGAACGTATGTCTACAGGATAGTGGTCCTGTAGACAATCTAACTACAAGACGAGCTGAGCACCTGTCAATTACCGTTCTAACCATTGTGAAATAACTCTTTGGTAACCAAAATACAGAAATCTACAATACTCTCGACAGTGAAGTATTTCAAACAAGCAAAAAAGGTAATATCCGTAAACTTTTGGATTTTTTGTAATTAGTAGCAATTAGCAATAAATAATGTTTTTGACAATTTAGTAAATTGTTCCACCCCATAGTTAATTCTATATTTGTTACAGCTCAAACTTCTAAGTGTATGGCCTGGGTTTTGGATTTATCACGCCATTATCTTATCCTCAGAACCAAAACTCAGTTCATCCACTACAAGGACAAGTCAAAGTTGTGACAGGAAATGTTAAATCAAACAATTCCCATGACCAATAGCTTAATTCCTTTAATCAAAATTTCACCACCTATCAGATCAAATAAATGTTCACAGTGGTAAATTCCATATAATTTACCATATGTACCAAAGAGACAATGACAAGAGTGCCGTTAGTTTACACCCTCGTTTTGCCGGGTTTCACCTCAAAGAGTCGCCGCACAAAGTGTACCTGCAGCACGGTTGTGCCTATGATGACCAGTATCTGAGCCAGGGACCAGTTGAGAACGTAGCTGTTATTGTCAGATATCAGGTTGAAGTCTCGTGCTTCTGAGCCACGCAGATGGTTCTGGTGTTGCAACATCTCATTGATGTTCTTTTCTACTGTCATAATGGAGGACTGCAACCAATATGCAGCTATTAATAAATACCAAAACTATTCTGTACACGGATGATACAACTTTTTTCCATGAAAACAATAACCAACTTGTACTTCAAAATTTAGTCCATGTAACAAAATTAAACGCATGCAAATGGTTTTATGCCAATGGATTTCTATTGAATGACTGTAAAAACCCAAGAAATACAATTTACATTGAAACAAAATTCTGCCTTAAATAATGAAAATAGTGCTGTCACAACAAAATTGTTGAGTCTTCATACTGATAATCAAATATCCTGGAATGAGAATATAAATTATTTGTCTACTAGACTATCTTGAGTAATATTTCTTCTTGGTCGTCTCAAAGATGTAATTCCAAAGAACGAATTGAGATCGGCTTATTTAGTATATTTTCAGTCTTAATGAGATATAGATTGATATTCTGGGATGGGCATAGAATCTATATAAATAAAATTAGAGTTTTGTCTGTACATTGCTCAGAATTATATATTTTTAGGTTATTTTTACGTCTTATACATTAAATAAGCAAAAACGAGTCTTATCTCAATTTCTGTCTGTCTGTCTTTCCCTTTGTCTGTAACACTCAAGATGGCATTTTACGCTATCTTCTCCTGGAAAACGAGAGTACCTATCAAGATCCAAGTCATTTTAATGTATTCACTGGATTGGCGAGATTGCCTTTAGCCATTAAAATATGGCCTCACTACTTTGTAAATAATATTACGAACGTTCAAAAATGTAGTTTTGTGCGATTTATGTCAAGTTTTCGTCCAATTTTTATTGCATAATCATCTATGAAATAACGAACAGCTGTTCGGATAAAGATGATTTTTCCTAGCTGTCACTGATATGTTTACAAATGTTGTGTACAAATACCGCAACCTTTTTCAATCACGTTTTGAATGTAAATCCCAAGTGATTAAAAACGTTTTTCTTACATAACGGATTTAATTAATCGAAAGTGCAATAATATAGTGTAATAGTGTAACCGTGTAAATGAAATTAAATAACTAGGCATCATCCAGTTCAGGAACCAGAGATTCTTTGTGTATAAATTGTTCTTGAGTTTTGATAACCAGAAAGAAGACCTTGAATCAGTGTTGTATACGGCTGGGAAACTTTAAATTTAATAATGATCGTCGCCAAATGGCTTAGAAATATGGTTTCCACTCATTGACACGGCGCTTCAATGGCGGTTGTGTAAAGTAAAAAAATCACAACTGCAGTGGGTGATTGTAACAGAGGTTTACGGATGATGCTAAACTCGCTTTTCTAATGTGTTATTTTCTGTTCCTACCATTGACTATATATATATATAGTCAATAGTACCTACTCACCGTGTGATACAATCGCTGGACCATACAGCCAATAGGCCCATAGCCCATCTCTTGGGTACGTACGCCTACCCAATTATTCATAACAAACTGTTCGACGACGATCCTTGATACCGGTACTTTTCCCTAGAATACACGGCCTACCTACTTAAGAAATAAAATTACAAACATCCAAAAACCCAACGTTGTGTGATTTTTGTAACATTTTCTTCTAATGTATTATGTATGTATTTATTATGTATTTATTCTTGTAATGTTAGTACCTTATTAGATAGCCTTTACCAATCATTGTTTAGAGAATAGGTACGTAATCTATTAAATAACAAAAAGTTGTTTGTATGCGGTTGTTTTTTTTTTTTTAACTGACACCGATAAGTTTACATTAAAAGTTGTTTACAAATAAAGCAATTAATGGGAAATAACTTTGATTGCCGTTTTAAAACTTTTTACGAGAAAACCCAAAACCAAGAGATCAATAACCTCGGGACTTGATTAACTCATATAATTGGTCGGCGGCTGTACTATAGTTCTCAACTGTGAACGTTGGTTTTTGGTACCGGTTCTATTCCTCAGAACCGTTGGTACTGTTGGTAGTAGCAAGAATCATTTTTAAGTACCAACACATCACTGTACTTTACAAATTAGTTATCGTTGGTGTTGCAACTTATTTATTATTACAGGCGTATTCAATTTGATTGATGTCTTAACTGTACAATTTTGGCTTTTTCTTTCTTGATTCCAAAATGTTAGTTTATGCTAAGAAAACGATAACGCATTTTAGTAAAACATTTATTCAGCAAACCATAATGAATTGTTTAAACGCTTTACGTTGTTTATGTATCAATAGTTCGTGGCCTATTTTGGTAATATTTACTAAATTAACAATCGTCTATGGTACTTCATTTCATATAGTAAGCCGTCATTTCGGGTCATCATCGGTCCAAGCAAATATACATTGTTATGATGAAATTTGATGACATTAACAAAATATTTCAGATACTAATTTTACAAGTACTTTGTTATGCTTAAAGCGTAGCAAATCCCCTAATTAAGTTCTGTATTTTTGTGTGTATGTCTGTTAGTAAAGCATTAATGTCCTTATTTCTCAGTGTTTCACGGAAAGGACAAAAGTACCTTTATAATGAAAATGTCAACACGAATAAAGTGTTGAATTGGGAGGTTGAGGTAGTACCTTAAATACTTTTAACCATTGTGGAAGTTAACTTTCAATTATAGGCCTACATTAGGGCTATGCCTCATAGATCTATCAAGCATTTTTTAGTTTAATCATTGGATTTAACATATGGACCAACACGACCCAGGTTACATTTAATTTCGAAGCATTTGTTTTGGCTTGAAACTGTCAGATACTGTATTTGCGAAGGTTTATATATAATAGTTTTGCCAGCATATCTGAAATATGCAAACCAAATTCTGTTAAAAAGGTTTCAATAACTGACTACAATAAGATCCCCGTGCGTAGAACGGGCACACAGCTAGTAATTAATGAAATTTTAATCCTACAGAAGAGGGCTATCAGGGCTATCAATGGATCGGAGCCAGACGAGCACTGCAAGCCTCTTTTAAAGGATTTTAAGATTCAAACTGTAATAAATTTGTTTATTTATGATCTTACCCTTTAATATCTTAAAAAAAACCTTAGCACCTAAAATTCAATAATCATAATCACAATACCAGATTTAAAAATAGTGCCTTGTTAGAATCACATTGTATTAGCATAGATAAAAGGAGTATAGACACAGATACCCCACGAGATAGGGAAGTCGCGAACGCTGTATTTGAGCTAGTGCAGTCGCTGTTTTGGCGTTTCAGGCCCGCAGCGTTGCCAGTTCGTGCAGCGCAGGGACGGAAATTCTCCCAGTTTCCCACGGAGTGAGAGAGACAGACTGAATGGCAGTGGCGCGCAGCAGTAGTATGCGTCGTAGCGGCCCTCTCTACAGTTGACACTACACCTGATACGACTTGTGTCCATAGCATTTGAGCTACAGTACTCACTCCGAATACAAAATATGAAATCCGTTAATTTTTTAATTATATTTCAACCTGCAAACGAGAAATATGTCTTGATTTAGAAGCAATATAAAGCAATCTCACGTTTTTAACAACTAACTAACTATTTTTATATTCGTAAATCAAACTGTATCATGATTTAATGAAACATAAAAAAATTTATATACAGTTTGAACCGTTTGATAATTTGAGCATTAAAAACCAGGGCTTAATCATGAATATTCGTAATTTTACTTGCAATATCAAACGTTTTGGTATAGACAACAAACATGCAAGGTTTTCAATTTATTTTCAATCAAACTCTAAACCGTACCACTATTGGAACGACTGTATAAGTTACTATGCCTACTTATTTACAGAATATTTATGATGAACAACAAAAGAGGAGTATTTAAGAAAACAATCACGTCAAACTACAAGATAGACAGACAAACAACAAACAAAATAATTGAAAACCAAACCATTATTTTTTGTAACAATTTATATACAAATACAATATAAAGTAAACAATAAAAATCAAACATAGTTGTTACAGTCTGAACAATGGGTCCTTTTAAATTAACTAAGAATTTTACTTTAAAAATAGATCGGAATCTGTACACGCAATGAAACAGCTTAATTTGTAAAACTTATTTACAGGATATTAGTTAATAGTTATTAACAACAAAGAAAATAATTGTTAAATTAATTGGGAACTGCACTACGGGTAATTTCCATTGATAGTATAGTCCTCGAACCATTAAAACAGCTGCCTGTTTTGCGATTTCTGGCCCTCGATTTAAACGTCCCGTGTCTTAAAAACCTTCAAGCATAGATAAAAGGAGTAGACATACTTACTCCTTTTATCTATGCTTGAATGAATTCATATTTTCGGGAATACTCTAAGCCCTTTTTTATATACAGGGTGATTGATATAAGTATGCCAAGTTATAAGGGATATAAAAAAATGTTAAACTGTAAATGCCTTGGATTTTTTATTTTTTAAATTTTGGTCAAGTTGAAAAAATAATTTTAGCCGCCATGTTTCCTATATGACCGCCAACTTTGATTTTTCTTATGGAAGACCCTATATTTTAGGATTGTTTTGGAAAGTTAAATGCAATTAAAAAATGTTTTTATTCTTGGCAATTTTTCTCTAAAGCTACTCGTTTAGGAGTTACAACGTGTTACAACTAAGAAAAAAGGACTTGCGTTTTACATTCTGCATCATGTATCTCCTAAACGACTACGTTTAGAGCAAAAATGCAAGAAGTAAAATATTCTTAAAATTGCATCTAGATTCAAAAAATACCATAACATACATAACAAATATTGATTCCATCGTTTCAAAAATGGCAGTGAAATTTTAAAACAGGAAAACGGTGTATGTTATGGTCTTTTTAGAATATTTATCCAATTCTAAGACTATTTATTTACTCTTTGCATTTTCGCTCCAAACGTACTAGTTTAGGTGCTACATGATGCAAAATGTACACCGCAACTCCGTAAGTCATTTTCTCGGTTGTAACACGCTGTAACTCCTAAACAAGTAGCTTTAGAGAAAAAATTCCAAGATTGGAAACTTTTTTAAATTGCACTCAATTTCTAAAACAATCATTAAATATGGGTCTTCCATACGACAAATTAAAGTTG